AACATGTTTGAAAGAAAACCTGCTGCCAGTATACACCAATATATATATATATATATATATATATATATATATATATATATATATATATATATATATATATATATATATATATATATATATATATATATACATATATATCCCCGCCTGTCTGTTCTGGACATTGTCCATCCTCCTCCCAATATTTTTCATGTTGACCGTTCCCGTTCCTCCTTCTCCTGTTGAGCCTATCGCCCGATTCAGTGCTGATGTACAGGTACATTGCCTGTCTCTCTATGTCAGAAACGTAAGCCTGGCTCCTCTTCTTCTTCCTCCGGGTAAGGTAAGAAGGCTTCAGTATATATTCCTCACCTTCTAACTCCTGCGTCTCCTCTATCTACCACTATCCCTGCGTCCCCTCCCATTTCAGTGGCGGATTCGCCTGTCACTGCTATGGATGTTCCCTTGGTCCTTGAGTCACTTTCGGATGCTGCCTTTGATCCAGTGAACTCTCTTGCTTCTATCCTTCTTGCCCCCGATTCCCTTGACCACCCCTCTCTGATGCCTCCTCCCGCTCCAGACTATGTCAGTCTGCCTCTGGTCTATCCTCTCGCTCCTTTGACTCCATTGACTGTGCTAGCTTTGTCTATGTCCTGTCACCCCGATTTCACTGATCCTGATCCTGAATTTACTTAGTCTACTGTGATCTTCTTTACCTTTGTTTCTCCCTTGTTATCTCTGTTTCTGTTCTCTCTCATTTTGTCCATTCTTCAACGGAATATTCGTGGTTTTTATGCCAACTTCACTGAACCTCAACGTCTAATCATGGAGTTGTACCCCGCTTTGTGTCTATCTCCAGGAGGCGATACTTGGCGCTCGTCCTGGTCACTTCAGTGGTTATTCCTTTCTCTCTTCCCCTGCAGCTCTTGCTGGGGCCCATGCCTCCACTGCTCTCTTGATCCATCTTGATATTTCCTTCTTCCTCCTACTTTTTCAGTCGCCCATTCAGTGTTTTGCGGCACATATCTTTGTGAGTAAATGGTATACAGTCTATTCCATATATCTTCCCCCTAATGTCCCAGTTTCTCTTCCTGATCACCTGTTGGACTCCTTACCAGAGCCCGTGCTCCTTTTGAGTGATTTTAAATGTCAGTATACCCTCTATTTTATACCTTAGTCAGGTGTTCTAACACCCGGGGCCGCCTACTCGAACCATTTGTTCTCTCTTCTTCTCTGTCTCTTCTGAATTCTTGTGAACCCACCCATGTTGACTCATGCACTTGTACCCTTTCCTGTCTTGATCTTTCTCTCTGCACATCTTCCCTTTATTTAGACTTCACATGATGGGTTCTTAATGACCTTCATAAAAGTGACAATTTTTTCATAATTTTCGCATTCTTCTCTTTTCATCCTCCCCTCACCTTCCCTAGGTGGCAGTTTGCCAAGACTGACTGGAACCTCTTCACTTTATGCGCTACTCTTTCCTACCTCTCTGATCTGCCTCTCCCCCCGAGCCCTCTTCCTATTTCAGGACACATTTTTTTATGCTGCCCTCTGCTCTACCTCCCAGGGCGCGCGGAAGTGCGTTTCCTGGTAGAATGCAGAGTGTGCTCAGGCTGTCCACTATAAGCATGCAACCAGGAAAAAACACTGGCGCCGATAGACGCCTGATTTTTTAATTTTGTTTCAAAAGGCGAGTGCGGTGGCCGTAATGTCATCCGTACAGCGAATAATGAGAGTTGATCCCTTGACTCCATCATTACAACTGACACTCCTCTGCTCCTGATCTGGAAAAAAATCTGTAAGTTAGCAGGTAAGTTTATTTTGGATGTCTCATCAGTCCTTCACCCATGTAGTTGTACTGTGGCGGATCCGGTGTCAGTCGCGATCGAACTGGGTTCGCACTTTTCGACTGTTAGCTTCGGTTCTCATCTTCCTCCTTCTTTCCTTACTTGTAGGCCTCTTCTTGATTCTTGTCTCATAGATTTTCGCACTCATCTTCAGCTTTCCTATAATGATCCTTCTTGAGGTTATCTTGAGATGATTTTGGGGCTTTAGTGTCCCCGCGGCCCGGTCCTCGACCAGGCCTCCACCCCCAGGAAGCAGCCCATGACAGCTGACTAACACCCAGGTACCTATTTTACTGCTAGGTAACAGGGGCATAGGGTGAAAGAAACTCTGCCTATTGTTTCTCGCCGGCGCCCGGGATGGAACCCGGGACCACTGGATCACAATTCCGTTCGGCCGACCGGCTCCCAAACATCCTTTCTCTTTCTCAAAACTCCAGTGTGCCCTGGTTCTCTGTTGTTCTACAGCAGCAGATTCAGATGATATTCATTGTGAGATGATTCACTATCTCCATCCATGTACGATTCAGTATTTACTGAATATTTATAACTGTGTCTGGGAGTCGTCCTCAGTTCCTGAGGACTGGCTTGAGGCGGTTCATTCTATTTCCCCTAAAGACTTCCGACCCATTGCTCTCACGACTTGCTTCTGCAAGCTCTTTGAGCGTATGGTCTATATCTGTCTAATATGGTTCTTGGAACGCTATCACCACCTCTCCTCTTCTCAATTTGGCTTTCGCAAGTGTCGCAGCACGACTGATGTCCTCGTGAATTTGGAGGTCTATATTCGTCTTGCCTTTGCTGTGAAGACCTCCGTTGTCGCTGTTCTTTTTGACCTGGGGAAAAGGCGTATGACACCACCTGGAGATATCATAGTCTGTCCCAACTACATTCTTTTGGCCTTCCTGGTAATCTCCCTCTCTTCCTACAAAGCTTCCTCTCTAGTCGTCCCTTTGGATTACGCCTTGGTACCACTCTCTCTGCCTGTTTTCAGCAATACAAAGGTGTTCCCCAAGGAAGTGTTCTGAACACTACTCTTTTCCTGATTTCCCTCAATGGTCTTTTTTCCTCCCTTCCTTCTGACACTTTCTCCGCTATTTTGACGATCTTAACCTCTGCTGTCAGGATGATGACTCGCCTTTCCTTCAACGGCGATTTCAACTTGCGATTGGTGCCGTGTCGTCCTGGGTCACCAATCATGGCTTCAAGTTCTCAACAACTAAGATTTGTGTAATGATTGTTACTCGGAAGCAAATATGATCCCCTTCGACCACCTTTGTCACTTTATGGTAATCCTCTCTTGTACAAGGATTCTGCTAAACTTCTGGGGTTAATCTTTGACATTTGCTTGTCTTAGTCGCCCCATATCTCTTACCTCCGAGTTAAATGCTCTAAGGCCCTTAACTTACTTAAGGTCTTGTCCCATGCTTTTTGTAGAGCTGATAGGCATATGCTCCTCTCTTTACATTTCTCTCTTGTACGTTCTAAACTTGATTATGGCTATCCTGCTTTCTCGTCTGCCTCCCCCTCAACTCTTCACCGTCTTGATGCACACTGGTTTATGCCTCAGCTCTGGTACCTTTCATTCCACTCCTACCCAGAGCCAGTATGTTGAAACCGCCATCCTGTCTCTACAGGATTGCTGTAATCGCTAATGCCTGCGTTACTTTGCACGGTTCTTACAACACCTTCACTTTCGCTTATGTCGTACTTTGACCATTACCCCTCCTGTGGGCCCTGTTCCCTTTCACCACTTTTCTCTTTCTGTATGGTTGTCTTGCTTGCAAGGTTCTCTCTCGGTTTGTGTTACCAATGTTTCTCCTTGTGTTGTTCCATCCATGCCCCCATGGTGGGTCTCCCTTTTCTTACGTTATGTAAGGCCTTGACCTACTTGACAAAAGCTTTTACCCCTCCTACAGTTTTGAAACGCCTTTTCCTTGCTCACTTTTCTTCACACTCCCACTCCATTTCCGTCTTCACAGATAGGTCTGCCGGCGGTGTAGACTACTCTGCTGTATTTCCTGACTACTCCTATACATATATGTCACCGGCCCTCGGAGACTAGCATCTTCATGGCACCGGCCCTTGGAGACTAGCATCTTCATGGCACCGGCCCTCGGAGACTAGCATCTTCATGGCACCGGCCCTCGGAGACTAGCATCTTCATAGCACCGGCCCTCGGAGACTAGCATCTTCATGGCACCGGCCCTCGGAGACTAGCATCTTCATGGCACCGGCCCTCGGAGACTAGCATCTTCATGGCACCGGCCCTCGGAGACTAGCATCTTCGTGGCACCGGCCCTCGGAGACTAGCATCTTCATGGCACCGGCCCTCGGAGACTAGCATCTTCATGGCACCGGCCCTCGGAGACTAGCATCTTCATGGCACCGGCCCTCGGAGACTAGCATCTTCATGGCACCGGCCCTCGGAGACTAGCATCTTCATGGCACCGGCCCTCGGAGACTAGCATCTTCATGGCACCGGCCCTCGGAGACTAGCATCTTCATGGCACCGGCCCTCGGAGACTAGCATCTTCATGGCACCGGCCCTCGGAGACTAGCATCTTCATGGCACCGGCCCTCGGAGACTAGCATCTTCATGGCACCGGCCCTCGGAGACTAGCATCTTCATGGCACCGGCCCTCGGAGACTAGCATCTTCATGGCACCGGCCCTCGGAGACTAGCATCTTCATGGCAGAACATTATGCAATTTTGTATGATCTTTGTCAACTGCATTCTCGATGTTTATCTTCCTTTGTTGTTGTAGTGGACTCTCGCAGTGCCCTCATGGTTCTGGAGTCAATTAACCCTGTCTATCTTGTGGAAGTCGAAATTCAAAATTGGCTGTTTCTTATCTCCAGTAGATTTAAGACCGTGGAGTTTTGCTGGGTTCGCAGCCATATTGGTGTGTCCTTAAATGAGCGTGAGAGTGCTGCCACTAAGGAGGCTATCTGCACTTGTTCCATTTCCCGCAATGGTGTTCCTTATTGCAGTTTCAAACCAGTTATTCATTCCTTAATCTGTGCTCGTTGGCAGGGTCGTTGGTCTTCTGTTACTGTAACAAACTGCATGCTCTTAAGGGTAGCGTGTCCCCATGGCCTTCCTCCTGCCACCGTAACCATCGGTGGGAAATTGCTCTGGCGAGTTTACGTATTGACCATACACGCTGAACTCACAGGCACTTAATGGAGCGCCGCCCTGCTTTGAATATCCTGACATCCAGGATGTGCGTGCGTCTTGCTTCCTGACTGTCCCTCACGGTCTCCTGTCCCTCGATAGTATCCTTGGTGAATTGGATGCCTTTAATATCTCTCGCCTTATGTGCTTTTGTTCTCATATTGGCATCCTAGTGATATTTAGCATCTTTTGAATATCCTTCACATTTGATGGTGCTACTTAGCCTCCCCGGCTTAGTGCCTTTTTTTGATAATTACTTTCTTACGTGTGATGTCTCGATGTCGACGTCACATGGCAGATTAGGCGAACTGTGGTGGGCGCCAGCTTGTAGCTGGCATTGTTGTAAAGATCCCATGTGGTTTCGCTACTTTTACCTCTGGTAAAGACTCACTTGGTCCATTGTCTACCAGGTTGATGTAATGTACCTACATACATTAAGATATATATATATATATCTCATGGTAGTGGAATTTTCCACACATTCCACATTGTGGAAATTTCCAAAAATTTTCACTGGTCGCCTTAAAGTGGTGTTTATCTCGTGGTTACTGTAGCTATTGTTCACCCACCTCACGTTACTCTATTCGAAGCAGTGGGTAAGGCCTCGACGAATATAAGCGTCGAGAACACTGGCTTTATATCTTTGTGGACACTCACTCCCACCGCTTAGGCCTAATCCAATGTTTGTAGGCTTAGTATAAACACTGGTGCTTAGAGAGGCTCTTGTTATTAGTACATCCAGGAATGGCAGACTGTTATTGTTACCTTTTTGTTCACACTTCTTTATCTTGCTCTCCTTACCGGTCCTTCACTGACCGGGACTCTTAGCCAAGAGTGACAGGTGATGTCGTCAGGCGTCACACACTTGCACCTGCGAAACTGAGAGAGGAGACCAGAGAGCAGCTTCACCATAAAGGGAAGGCAGCTTCACCATAAAGGGAAGGCAGCTTCACCATAAAGGGAAGGCAGCTTCACCATAAAGGGAAGGCAGCTTCACCATAAAGGGAAGGCAGCTTCACCATAAAGGGAAGGCAGCTTCACCACAAAGGGAAGGCAGCTTCACCATAAAGGGAAGGCAGCTTCACCATAAAGGGAAGGCAGCTTCACCATAAAGGGAAGGCAGCTTCACCATAAAGGGAAGGCAGCTTCACCATAAAGGGAAGGCAGCTTCACCATAAAGGGAAGGCAGCTTCACCATAAAGGGAAGGCAGCTTCACCATAAAGGGAAGACAGCTACACCATAAAGGGAAGGCAGCTTCACCATAAAGGGAAGGCAGCTTCACCATAAAGGGAAGGCAGCTTCATCATAAAGGGAAGGCAGCTTCACCATAAAGGGAAGGCAGCTTCATCATAAAGGGAAGGCAGCTACATCATAAAGGGAAGGCACCTTCACCATAAAGGGAAGGCAGCTTCACCATAAAGGGAAGGCAGTTTCACCATAAAGGGAAGGCAGTTTCACCATAAAGGGAAGGCAGTTTCACCATAAAGGGAAGACAGCTTCACCATAAAGGGAAGACAGCTTCACCATAAAGGGAAGGCAGCTATGATAGGGACACGATAGGGAAGGTACACATAAACAGGATAACATCAGCAGCATATGCGACGCTGGCAAATATAACAACATTCTGCACCAGAACTCCTTCAAAACAGTCTACACAATATGTGTTGGATCAATACTGGAAAATGCAGAACTGGCATGGAATCTGCACCTTGAGATTAAAACAAAATTTAAAAAAAGTTAATGGGTTTGCAACAAGGTTAGTGTCAGAGCTAAGTGGACTAAGATACGAACATAGACTAATGGAACTGGATCTCACTGAGCTAGAGGATAGAAGGAAAAGCCGGGATATGATCATAACTTACAATTATTATGATGATGGTGTTGATGTTGGTCGGTAATCCACCCTTCCTTTCGGACCGCCAACCCAAAATTCTGTAGAGTGCTTATTTTGACCAGGAGATCACCCTGGGTGCTTCTGGCACTTGGAGAGGGGATCAACATCCCATGTTTAGGGAAAGCTGCTCCAATACTGACCTCGTTGTCACGTGCACACACCCATTCGAGCCGCTGTGACTCCCCACTCTCTCCTTACTTGGTATGACCTCCTCAATCCCCTTTCTCTTATTATTCTTTTCTACCCTGTCCATAGCAGTGGTTCTTTCTCTCTCTCTCTTTTCTACTTACTGGGAAGCCTCTCTAGGACAAGGGCAAACACCGGCAAATTTTGATATATTATTGGACAAGGCGCATGCACAATACATATACACGTATAATAATATGACTCCAACACTCTATACTATTGTAGTCAGGTTACATTCCAATACCATCAGGACTCTATCATCTGCTTTTCAAGTGGTACCCAAACTGCTGTCTCATCACTTACACCACCAACCACACCAAGTAGGTCAAGTCTCATAAGACAATATTGCACTATCAGCAAGAGAAAATATATATATATATATATATATATATATATATATATATATATATATATATATATATATATATATATATATATATATATATATATATATATATATATATATATATATATATATATATATATATATATATATATATATATATATATATATATATATATATATATATATATATATATATATATATATATATATATATATATATATATATATGTCGTACCTAGTAGCCAGAACGCACTTCTCTGCCTACTATGCAGGGCCCGATTTGCCTAATAAGCCAAGTTTTCATGAATTAATTGTTTTTCGACAACCTAACCTACCTAACCTAACCTAACCTAACTTTTTCGGCTACCTAACCCAACCTAACCTATAAAGATAGGTTAGGTTAGGTTAGGTAGGGTTGGTTAGGTTCGGTCCGATATCTACGTTAATTTTAACTCCAATGAAAAAACTGACCTCATACATAATGAAATGGGTAGCTTTATCATTTCATAAGAAAAAAATTAGAGAAAAAATATTAATTCATGAAAACTTGGCTTATTAGGCAAATCGGGCCTTGCATAGTAGGCTGAGAAGTGCGTTCTGGCTACTAGGTACGACATATATATATATATATATATATATATATATATATATATATATATATATATATGTATATATATATTTTCTTTTATATATACATATATATGCCTTTGTTTTGTACAAATACAACACAACTGATCAAAAAAGCTAACATTGCTACAGTTCCACGAGGTTGCAATTTGGGCCCTATTGTGCTGGGACCTGGAAGATTGGCCTCAAACAGCAACAGTATCTCAACACTTGCGGCACGCTCCAGACATGAATGATGACACAGGTCCTGCCAATGCTGACGCCATGCAAACTCCCGGACCATCTGGTGTGAGGCGGCCCTTGTTCACTTCAACACCTCAAGCTGAAGCAGCAACCGAATCAGAACCGGAGATGTCTGGCACACTGCCATTTGACGAGACGGTTTTGTCAGATGACTCTGACTCAAATGTTGAACCTCCAGCGATTCAGTTGATTCTGAAAATCGCATGAACTACAAACTGAAACGAGTATTTTGATACCAGAATCAACACTGTATCACATTAACTGCCGTAAGTAGACTCGAACCTTCATAGATTTTTTTTTTGGGTGTAGCGTGTGTCTGCATGAGTGTCCCAAACGGGTTGCAGGTGGGTGACTTTAGCCGTTTATACTGGTAATGCTTCCCCCATATCATGTATTATATGCATATGTCTGTTTAGGGAATTTTATTCCGATCAATGTACAACCAAAAATAACTGTGTTCAACAAATATAAACTTGACAAACATAACAACAGTAAAAACATTTCGTGTGTGTTTGACGCTCACTGATATGTTCCAGCGTTGTTTTATATTTGGCGCTATTCTATCTTACGCTTTGTAGATCTTTTTTACCAACGGGCTCATAGAACATTCGATTGCGAACACATTGACACAAAAATAAATGACGTACATAGAATAATAATGTCCGGACAGTGAAATAAGTATAAACTTTCAAAGCACCGTATCGCACATGTGTCGTCGCATCACCAATACCAGGTAACAGTTCCACCACTTCCCACACTCTTGCGGGCGGGCAGCGACCATTATTCTACGTTTATATTCATATCACCGTGTTGGGAATTTCATTGCTAGTCCATTGATACCAAAATTAACGCTGTAGAACAAGTGTGGAGGTGATAACAATCCCAAGAGTAAAAACATTTTGTCGCTGTTGGGCACTCACGGCGAGTCATCTACGTAGTTATTTATTTGGTGCTGGTATCCCTATACCTTTCGTGATCTTTTTTACTGATGTTCTTCTAGAGAATTTTATTGCGAACACGTTGGTACCAAAATGAAATACGTAGCTCAAAAACTAAGGTCAGGAGAGTAAAAAGAGTATACACATTTTTGTTTGACGCTTAAGCGACAAAAACGCCCTGCACACATACCACTTTTTTTTTAACCTTAGCCGGGCGCGCGAAAGTGTTTTACACACAAATTCTTCGTACTTATTCTCTAGTGGATGACGTGATATGGTACAAAAGTTTTGGGTGAGGTGACAAACACAAGACAACACGAAACAATGGGTAAAAATTGGATAAGTGAACATATGAATGGAAGTAACTGCAGAAGGTCTATTGGCCCATACCTCCTCTTGCTGCTTCCATATTGGCTCGGGGTCTTGAAGTAGGTAGAATATAGTTGTGCATTAATTGGCTGATGATTGATGGTGTTGACTTTTTGATGTGTAGTGCCTCGCTTATGTCAAGCTGCCTGCTATCGCCGTACCTATCGCTGATTTCTGTGTTGTTTGTTAAGATTTCTCTGGTGATGGTCTGGTTGTGAGAACAGATTATGTGTTCCTTGATGGTTCCCTGTTGCATATGCATTGTTAGTCGCCTAGAAAGAGATGTTGTTGTCTTGCTTATATACTGAGTTCTTTGGGGCTTACAGTCCCCAAGTGGGCCTTTATTGGCATAGACGACGTTGGTCTCCTTCAAAGCGTTCTGCTTGGTGTCTGGCGAGTTTTTTATGAGTTGATTGGCCGTTTTTTTAGTTTTATAATAAATTATCAATTGTATTTTCTGATTTTTGTTTGTAGGGATGACGTTCCTATCAACAATATCTTTCAGGACCCTTTCCTCCGTTTTATGAGCCGTCGAAAAGAAGTTCCTGTAAAAATAGCCTAATTTTGGTTACAAGTGTTGTGTTGGTTGACTCTTCAGAGGTTGCATGGCGTTTAACCTTTCTTTTTATGTCTTCAACGAAACCGTTAGAGAAGCCGTTGTTGACTAGGACTTGCCTTATCCTACAGAGTTCTTCATCGACTTCTTTCCATCCTGAGCTGTGGCTGAGAGCACGGTCGACGTAAGCATTGA